CTGCCTGCCGGGTTAAACCACAACACAGTCATTGACCAACAACAGCAAATCGCTGATCTTTTGAGAACCATGATCAGGTTGTTTCATTAATCAAGTTATTGCATATCACATGAGCCAAGGTAACTATATGTCTCCTCTTAGCATGTAGCAAATACAAGGCAATTCAACATGTCTTAGCATGAGTGTTGAGATAGGTTGTGCAGCTTTGCATTTGCTGCCTCCCGAGAGGACGTGGATCAACTGTGTCAAGTTGTGCTTGCCACAGGGTAACGTCGTGGATTGACACAGCACAATTGTATGTCGAATTTCTCTCGCAAACTGCAGAAGAGGGTACAGTGCTGTTGCAGAGAACTTGCTGTGATACGGGGATGGGTCTCTTTTCTTTTTTTTTCATCCAGACTTTCTGACATACATCAAGTTTGCTGATGCACTCTAGCCTGAAATTTTGAGTAAGCCTCTTGATTAACTTTCTGAGAAAGATTTTGCATTCGCTAGTTTAACATGTTGCCTTCCTCTTAAAATGACATGGAAGAAAACTTCAGTCCTAAAAAAACCCCAACACCCTACCAAAAAAACTCGCCCAACAACAACAACACAAAACCTAAAAATAAACAAAAAAATCTTACCTCAATGCTCAATCCTTTTCTCTACTCCTTTCTTAAAGACTCTGAACTTATACTCCAACCATGCAGACTGACATCTCACTCACTCCACAGGCACAGTTAGTTCTTACAGCAAGACTGTATTTTGAAGGGTTCCTGGGGAATGGTTTGAGAGATCAGATTTATCAGTATTTTGTCTGTGGGCAAATGATGTGATGAGCCGCGTAAGTCTGTAAGACTGGGTGGCTTTCAGAGTAGGCCAGACAGCAGCTGCCTGGTCCAGCAAGAAGTTAGAGGTAGCAAAAAGGAAATCTTTATTATTCCTCAACAATAATTATTTCCTGTTAAAAGTGTAAAGAAAGGCAAATGTAATACTCTCTGTATTTTACAGGGAGGGGAGGAAAAATTATTTCAGCCAACCCAATAATCTAGGGTAAGATTGGCCTTATAAAAGACAGGAATTCCATAAGCAGAGGAGTTAATAAATCCTGGTTTCCAGTATCTTTCTTCCATATGGATTCTCTTATATCTACCAAAGGCTGAGCTTATTAGACTTTCCCTTGGTAGTAGCACTAGTACAGCCTCTTTCATACCTGGCATCCGTTCTCACAAACAGTGAAGGATCTTAATGCCTTGGAGATCCCTATTTATCAGATGGAGACTGCTGAAATCATACAACTGTGGTAGGGTTAAGGTCAGACAAGCCATGTGTGTAGGCACATGTGTACATGTACAGTGTAATTAAGTAAAATTGTTTCCTTAGGAAACCAAGCTAATAAAATGCAAATGTGAAAGGTGATGTGGCTTACAAACTGGCAAGGCCAGTGTTTGAGATCATGCCTTACCTGGAAAACATTTTTCTAGCACCTTTCCTCTTTATCCAGAAATCCTGTATGTATCAGATGTAAATGCACACTTCTCTTATTAGTAGATTTTGGTTTTGGTTTTTTTTTTAAAACATTTTGAAATCACATTTTGAATAATGGGAACTCTAGTGGAAAAACCAGGCAGGCTGCCCTCACCCTTATTACGCTTCATGAGTCTGCTTTCAAACCTCTGTCAAACTAGTCTTTGAAAAGAAATGATGAATAATCAGTCAATAATGAAACACTTGGTTTAATTAGAACTGGCTAGAAGCATTTTGTGTTTAATTGTCCTTCCAACAAACACATGTACATTGTGTGTATATACATATACGTATATTATTTTATTTATTTTTAACCAAAAATTCTGTGCTACATATTTTGCTGATTTTTTAAGGGTCCTTCTCCATATCCAAATCGCGAGAGTCAGTGAAGACTATGCAGAAGCAGAGCTGATGTGAGGATGATTTAGTTATATGAGTTACCGGTGCCCTGGAGTAAGGCAGTCTCTCTTCCTCCTTCCCTCCAGGCTAAATCTCATGGGATAAAGGTAGAAGAAACTCAGGTCCCTATCCTGACACCCTAGCAGCCTCGTGCCTCACATGGTGGCTGTCACCTGGCTGGGAGGCAAGCTGTCCTCCTGACTTCACACAGCCCTTGCAAAACAGATCCCATAAGGTTTGGAGGCTTGAGGTTATTAAGATGGTCCAGGGGGTTCTTTCATGAATCTGGCAGCTCTGGTCCGTGGGTCTCCTTCTGAAAGGATCGCTGTGTGTTTTGAGGGGTGTCTTTACTTGTCGGTGATAGCATAAACCATTGCCACAGCACAGCCAGCCAGCTGCTTCAGAGGCAGAAGACGTGATGGGCTGCTGCGGGGCGGCGGAGGGGGAGGGAGTGACTTAAATGTTGGCATTTAATTGATGTAAAACAGAAGGGCAGTTAGGGGAGGTGTTTGCTGTGGAAAACCAGCAGCACCTCTTGCCTTTTGCTGGAACAAGTGAGAAATGTTTGAGGCCTTTTAAGAAGGGGACTGTTTTGAGTCACCATCACTCAGGCTCAAAAATAATTTAATTGTTGCAGAGTAACTTGATCGCTGACTTCAGACTTAAAATCACCAGCAGTTGGGTGCTATACAGATTCCTGGCTGCTGGAAATCGCTGTATCTCCGCTGGCTTGTAGCATGAGGGCCTTCATCCCAGGGCTGACTCTGCGTGCAAGGGTGTGCAGAAGGACCCAAGCATCCTAAAAGCCACATGTAGGAGAACTGCCTTCTCCTGTCCTTGGTGGCACAAACCAGCTTACTGGTGATCCTTAGCTTTTATGCAGATTGTGGTCAGCTTCAAATGTATGCGTCCAGGCAGGAATCGTCTCTCTTTTCGTGCATGGTGTTCTCAGCTACTGGCAGTGCATTGCTCAGTAAGAGTAAACAGTTTGCAGCCGAATACTGGCTTTTTTACGGGCTTAGCAGTTCTTTGCAATTGTAGGATTCTAGGTGATGGTACGTGCCAGGAGTTCAATTTATACCTAAACTCTTACCTTCTCCACCGAACTGAAACTTGCATGTTAGCTCTAGGCTAGAACCCTAGATTAAGCTGGTTTTCATTCCATCATCTGAAAAGCAGAGCCCCCAAATATTGTTGCTGTCATAATTTTACTCCCATAAATTAACCATGAAATTAACAACTTTTATTTTTCTTTTTTTAAGCTAAGGATGTTACTTACATCTGCCCCTTCACTGGAGCAATCAGAGGAACCCTTACTGTTACCAATTATAGACTGTATTTTAAAAGCATGGAACGGGTAAGCTTTTGAAACCATCTGCTTTTGTTGGCTATTCAATCTTTAGACCTAGGTGTTCTTTGAGAGTAATTCTGTGTGAATCATAGCTATATCTTTGGGAATATAGGCATAAGGGAGCAGGAGCCGGGGATTTTTCCCCCTCCCCTTTTTAAACTCACAAATTTCAACTGTCTACAGGACCCTCCTTTTGTCCTAGATGCATCTTTAGGTGTAATCAACAGAGTGGAGAAAATTGGAGGTGCTTCCAGTCGTGGTGAGAATTCATACGGGCTGGAAATTGTATGCAAGGTAAATTTTTATCTGTGTTTTACAATAGGGGAAGGGGAACATATATTTTAAAAGGTTTTCTCTGTAGTACTGTAGGAAGTTCTGCGAAACATTTCAGTATGACTTCACACACTTGAAAAAACATCTGACTTTAAAAGTAATTTTCAGGATTCTCCAGCTCCACTCCTAGCACAGGCTTTGTGCTAGGTAATGTCTTTTCTTCATGGTGGAAACCTAGGCCTGCATCCCACTAATGCAGTTCTCAGGATTGCTCACCGGGCTATCCCAGGAAGACTCCAGTCATTGTGGAGTATAGGATGCCTTTCACTCAACGTGCATTTCAAGAGCAAGAAAGCTAGCTTGTGTCCACCTGCCACTGTGCTTTGTGGTAAGGGACTGGCAAGTAGCCATCAGTCCTCCTCGAGGCTGTTCTTTCATTTCTTTCAAGGCGGTACATGTTTCACATGTGCCTCTCAAGAGCCCTAGGAATCATTGGAAATGCAAACTTAACAATTAACTGAAAATTAACAATTGACCTCCTCGTGTCTACTTACTATAGACCCACAGAGTAGATAAAGTCGCCATCTCCAGTCCTAAATTCATACCTCTGCTGGTCAGCAGGGCATGGCCCCTCTGCTTCCCTCAGTGGCCATGTGGGGAGAGCTGGGTTCTGAACCTTGTAGGTCTTGGGCTGCTTAGAGCTCTTGTCAGAGCCCCCTCAAGGCTGAAAGGATGCCACTTGCTGGATAAGGGCAGATGGAGGAATGAAAACTGCTCCGGCCACTGCTGTGATTTTGAGGCACCAGGAAGCTAAGCAGACTCTCAAGCTGTGGGCATGCTGAGTCAAAAGCAGTTGATATAATCTATACCAAATCATCCAGCTGCTCCCTTGTCCTATTGCAGTCATGATCCTCCCTGGCTAACCTAGGGGTGCTTGTCCTGGCAAGCTAATTTGTTCCCTGTTTTGATCTGGATTCCTAGTCCTCAGCCATTTTGCCTATATACAAATTTGCACACATGGTCAGGTTTAGAGTGAACTACATTGTTTCCCTGAGTGGGAAACCCAGGCACAAACTATATAGTTAGGTATGTTGGCCCTATACAGCATATATATATGCGCCAGCCTACTTGGCCCAGGATATGCAGAGCAGTTTAGTGCGATAACAGATACAGCTTATGCATCCTGAAGTGTTCTCTGTCTGAGACCAATTACCTAATCTCAGTCTTGTGAGACAGCTAAGTCTTTAGCTGTTTGTCTCATTCTCTGACTTGCTGTACCATCTTCATATGCTTGAACTTGATAGCTTATTTCCTGCTGGTGGCTTTTAAACTGTTTACTACAAGTGTTTGAGTTGTAGGCTTGGCTGGAAAATCTTGGCATCTTAGAGATGCTTTACTTAGTTTCTGAATTTGATTTTGTAGATGAGTACAGAAAGGAGGTCTTGGGTAACCACTCTTTGTGGAAACTGTGCTGCTGTGCAAATAGGAGGAGTTCTCAGTTTCAAGGCATCCTCTTGAGTGCTCTGAGAGATGGAAGCTTTAAAGGGAGATGGCATTAGTTGCTTTGCACCAAACTGACTGGACCTGGGCTCCCTCTGTGCAGTAGCTCTATGGAGGTATTTTGTGAGGCAGTCCCTTCCAGCTGTCTTCTGGCACACCTCAGTGTGAGAGTGTGGTAAGAGCTAGGAGATCTGTCAGACAAAGTCCTGCTGGTCAGCAATAGCTTGTCCCTGTGCGAGGCTCTCCCCTAGACTTTCAGCAGATAGAGAGCTTCATGTGAAGGCAAGATGCTGTGATCAGGTGCACCTGTGCACTCCCTCTGCTCCTCTGTAGCTGTGGCAGGCTTTGTTGGAGGCTGCAGATGACCACTGAACCAAGCCCAGAGCTGCAATACAACAGTGTTCAAAGTACGATATTAAATCAGTGCTAGAAAGAGGATCGTGATGTGACCCTATTTTGAATGCTGGGTTTTGGATTTTCTTTGGATTTTGAAGTGGTTCAGAAATCTGCAATTTGATTTCCCTCTTTTTTCCCTAGGATATTCGAAACTTGCGATTTGCGCATAAGCCTGAAGGGAGAACTAGACGATCCATATTTGAGAACCTAATGAAATATGCTTTCCCAGTGTCAAATAATCTCGTAAGTATTTTCTTTTCAGTTTTTACCAAAAGACACAGAGTGACAGTAAGCTGTATTGTTCAGTCCCATCTACTTGGTACAATGTTCACATGGGGTGCATTTTGTTGAAGGAGGAGAAATGCTGGGTTTTAAATCTGTTCTAGAGTTAATTCTGTAGGAGTTTAGATTGTATAGAAAACAGGAGGAGTCTTCTACCGTGGGGCTGGATTCCGTCATGCATGGAGAATGACTTACTGATACATCCTCATAGCAGAGGGAAAATATTCAAAGCACAGCGTCATCCATCAGAGGTTTACAGGTAATGGTGACTGCACTGCCCCAAATCTGCCCTGTTCATCTGCTCTGTCATGTTATGACAGTGCAATTGTTGCTTCAAATACTGGTTGAAAGGATCTAGTTCTTAATATGTAAAAGTGTTCTTGCCCAAGTAGTCTTTTCTTTCTCTCTTTAATAATAAACTTCTTTTGTCCATGAAGTACTAGGTAATAGACAAGCAAGATCAGGGGTATAGAGGAGGGTACATTGCTGTAGTAATTACCTGCTACAGCGAGCACATTAATCTTTTTCATAAAGCCCTAAAAGAAAAGTAGTGCAGCAGGAAAAAAGAAGGACCAGTCATGAGTTACTATTTGAGATATCAAACATCCTGGAAATGGGCTCTGAGTGGGCTCTAAATGGTAAATTTTCTTTCTTTCAGCCACTTTTTGCATTTGAGTACAAAGAGGTTTTCCCAGAAAATGGATGGAAGGTGTATGACCCCACTTGGGAGTACAGAAGACAGGTAGGTACTGTGCCATGTCCTTCCTCATCCTCTCTACTCTTCAGAATTGAGGCTCTGTGCAGCCATATAATTTACAGGTCACATGGAA